GTTTTTATTATTGTTGGATGCCATTTTGTTTTTATTATTAGGACTGTTGATGTAAACTAGCCTTAGGCTAAATCTGGTGCAATGCATCAAATGTTTTTATGTTTACGTTTTAATTGCACATTGTCCTCATAAATAAAATTCATTCATTTAAACGTGCAAAAACTGCATTTTTTCAAAATAATGAATTAATGCCTTATCAATATATCATTTGAATAAACTGTCTTAAATAAAACCCTAAAAACATTTTTGAAGCATTCTTTTGAGCATTAGCAACAAAAATAGATTTTGAGGAAAAACGCCTTAAAAAATTTTTTGCCGGTTCTTACGGGCTCGTTCAGTCTGAGCAGCAGGTCAGATCAGAGAGGTCGTTAACGTGATGAAGGATGAAAAAGAGATCTAAAAACAAACTACTGGAGCTTTCACCTCATTTATACAGAAAAACTCTGCTGCTGCAGCTGATACACCAACACACACACACACTAACACACACACTGAGTCAGCATGGGTGTAGGAGGACAGTCTCGTCCCCACAGGAACATCCAAATCTCTCTAAATATAAAACAACTGTTTGTGTCTCAGTTGGAGCTTCAACAGAAAATAATCTGATTTATTCAGTCGAGTTAAATGAAACAATCTTTGTTTTATCGTTTTGTATCACACAGCTGAGGGACGAAACGTATCGTTTTTTTCTGTAAGGACGTCCTGAGTCAGGGTTAAATCATCGTGACTTTAACATGAAGTCAGCAGACACGGGCCAAGCTTCAGATCCATCATGTAAACATGTTTTGTTGTGTCGAACCTTCTTATGTGCACTGAAGATCCTCCTGAAGGTGTCCGGGTTCTTCTCGGCCGGTTTGCTCTGAGGTGGTCTCCTGGGACCGCTGGCCAACACTTTGAGACCCTCCTCAGAGAAGTCCAGGACGTCTGGAGTTAAAAACACGATTATTTAGACTTTAATGAGATTTACAGTTAAGAGTTTACAGATTATAAACTAATCTGTTTTTTATTCTAACAGTTCATCACAATCTGAGCCACTTTAGAGGGTGGAGACGGCTGCTGGTGTCTTGTTGGAGTGAAACGTGGCTCTACGTCATGTTTACATATAAACAAAGTAACTGACAGCTGGAAGCAGAAATAAACATCGTGAACCTGTTTCACAAACTCAAACCTCATTAATCACAGCTTAAAGCAGGGTTCATGCAGGTTTCAGTAAGTTCAATTTAAGACCAAACCAACACACTAASAAAAACATTCAAATGGTCACTTAAATGTTAAAATTGAAACCTTTCATTGCTGTCAACTTAGCTTTTAAAGAATATTTTATTTTAATACAAGAACACTAAATTATTTCAATGAAACGGTCATATCCACGTACCGCTTCCAGCAGAGTGCAAAAATCACTGATATCAGCCAAGTCTCATTGAAAACACACTTTCCATGTTTAAATGACAATTAGTGGACATCACTGAACTTCTTTGGTTTTTGGGCAGGTGAACAAGCCGCCGAATGTGGGAGGTCGAAAACATGGAAGTGTGCTATCTTTGCCAGCAGTTATTACGGGATTTGTAGTTTAACATGTAGCAAACTAAGGACTAATGAAGACAGATTGCATCAACCTCTGATTACTGTGCTTTACTCAAGTGATTCTTAATCTGTGGGCCGCGAGCGCCACCTTGAGGGCCTCAAAAGAACAACAGTTTTTAACTTTGGGCCAGCAGAGGGCCGTGGGAC